TTAAAGGTAGGGGGCTTGTAACGACGAAATTGTTCCACAACTGAGCTCGCGGTATTGGAGTTAGTTTGTGCATTCTCGGGAGGCGCTTGTATTTACTGCCTACCAACATATTGTACAGCCCTCAACAAATCCTTAAACATAGCAGCTTGTGCCGGTTGACGTGCCATTTACTTTAAATCCACCAAATAAGTTTCATCTTAGAAATAGTCAACATCTTAATATATTTGAATGAAAAATTCAATTTCATAAAATTTTAAATCCTAGAATACATGAGGGACGATTGGAAGAATTAAATTTTAGACGATGAAGAAAACCTAAGGATTATTCTAAGTACTGATTACTTTTTAGGGGAGGAGGGGGAACGAAATCATTTATTTAAACTAAATCATCTATAGGTTGCTAGTCTTCATCTCTCTTGTACAAAAATTTTGAATCCTACGTAGCTTAGAAGGAGGGGCTTCATCATTGAACGATATACATGACTTAGGCTCAAATTCATGGTCAACTTCTAGTTCAATGTCTAGCTCGAACCCTGGCTCGTCCTCTGGATCTGGCTCTGGTCTTGGTACATACTCCGGCTCGTTCTCTGGCTCCGAATCAGATTCATAATATGGCTCCTCTTTTGGGTCTTCTTCAAATCTTCCTCTAGGTCCTTCTCTGGTTCCAGAGTAGAAATCCACCTATCCAGGAAGGTTTCACAATACAGCTCGAACTCAATCATTTTGGGATACTCCGGGGGGTTACCCTCTAATATTTTGTCCCTAATCTCAATGCTCATGTCTCCCCAATGAGGTACCAGTGTGTGGGTAAAATTGTTAACAACTTGGAAATGTGCTACATCATGCCCTACACCCCTTGCTGCAGTCCACCTAGCGAAAACTTCCTCCACATGCTTAATAAGTGTCTGAATCGGGTCTGCTTAATAATTCTCATAAGCTTGGATAACTGTAGCCCTATGGTTTAGAAAAAAAACCCTACTAGCCATTGTCTTCCTAGCGGTCTCTCTAGTTCTAGCAATGTGCCACATACAAGCCAAGTTCAGTTATGCTTAATATTTTATTAATGCTAACACTTTGTCTTTTACGCTTGCATAATTCATTTTAGGGATAAAATAAAATATTATACTTTTATCGA